CAGGATGGGGGGTGGGTTAGGAACCGGGCCCTGGCTGGGTCACAGCCACGGCAGTGGCCAGGTATCTACTGAGGCTTCACTGTGTTTTCCCGCCTGGACGGCAGAGTGAGAGCTGTGGTCCTGCCAGTTACCTGCAGGGCGGGATTGGGGTGGAGCCACAGCCGAGATCAGACTGAAGTTGGGGGGACCCTGGCCAGGGCGGCCTCCGAGGCGGATTTTGATATGGAGAAGTGTTCAGAGTTTTGCTGCAGACGGTGCTGGTGCAAAACGTTTCCTAAACATCCAGCCACAGCATCGCCCTGTAAACGCACTTCCACGCTTAGTTTGCTGTAAGGACAGGGCTGCAGCCATTTCAACAGGCAACAGCCCTAAACCTCCCTCCCGCCCAGTTCTACGCAAAGGAGTCTGTGCCCGGCCTTCTTCTCCCATCTTCCCTCTGACAGCCTCTGGGGTCTGGGGCTGAGGGCACGAGTGTCGTGCTCTCAACGACCCGGAGAAGTTGTGGTAACGGTCAGGGTCGCGGCCAGCCCCGAGGAGGGAGCAGAGCATGCACACCCACGGCTCTCTCTCGATTTGGGAATGACCTCTGCCCTCCGGGGGCGGGGGGCCGTCAGGCCCAGCTCATGCCCTCCTCGCCCTCAGCCTGCCAGGGCCACCAGCATCCCCGCATCCTCCCTAGAGGAGGCGCGGGGATGGGCACACGTGAGCCCGAGCAGGCTCAGCCCCTGCCCAGTTTTGGTGGTCTGGGGACCCACACCGCTGCCTCGGGCTCCAGAGGAAAAGCACCACACACAAGCCCTGTGTTTTATAAGGCGAGCAGCATCCCTCCGGCTTTGATCTGTCCTCAGTTGGCACAGTGACGGGCACGGTGATGGCCAGGGTGCAGGATGGCATTGAGGACGGCCGCTCCCCCGGGGCCACGCAGCGGCCTCCGTCCGGCGGGCCCGGCTTTGCTGCCCCACGTCTGCCTGGAGCCCTCCCATCCTCTGGTCTGGAATCTCACTCGTGTGCTTCTGTCTGCCCGTCCTTCCGTCTGTCCGGAGTCCCCGGTGCAGCTCTGCTTTGGTGTGCCAGCTGTGGTCGGAGAGGTTAGGGAAGGAGGCTGCGGGGCCGGGGGTGGACATCACCACCCTGAGGCCTCAGAGATTTTGTGTCGTGTTTTCTCCGCCTTCAACCTGAGGTTCCAGAAAAGTGCTATCAGTGCTAATGACAAAAGTTACAAAATCCATGGAGGGTCCGCGAAACAAGCAGCACACAGTCGCCCCACAGTGTTTGCAGGGGAATAAATGGCGAAGCGTTTGCATATGCACATCCCCCCGGATACTTCAAATGATCCCTAGATGACCTGTAACACTTGTAAATACAATGTAAATGCCGTGTAAACACTTCCCAGTCTGTGGGAAATTCACGTTTTGCTTTTCGGAAGTTTCTGGAATTTTTTTCAAGTCTTTTCCATCCATAATTGGTAGAGTCTGTGGCTACGGAGCTCATGGATATGGAGGGTTTAATGTGTATTTACCACTCGTTTAATCCTCACAAAGGAAGGTGAAGAAACTCCGGCTCAAAGAAGCCACGTGACTTCCTCGGGGGTCGCATCCGCTGGCGAGGGGCGGAGCTGAGGCGGACACCCGTGTGCGCTGATGGTGGTGGCCAGCGTGACACAGGCCTCCGCATCTGTGCTGGGGCAGGGTGGTGGCCAGAGCACTGGCCCAGGCCCACCCCTTCCAGTGTGTGTAGCAGGCTCCTGGGGTCTCAGGGGACAGAGCAGCTGAGCCCGGGGTCAGGGTGGGCGGACCATGTTCCCACATCCAGGGCAGGTACTGCAGACCTGCTGGCAGCAGGGCCGTCCTGGCATCTCCCCGCAACACTCCTCCTGGGAATCAATTCAATCAAGACCCCAACTGGTGATGGACCTGCTCCTGGCACATCAGACAGACCCTCCCCTCCTCAACCCGCATCCAGGATCCCTTAAGAAAACCCGACAGCCTGCGGGCCTTTCCCATCGATCTGGACTTGGGAGCAGAAACTACGGCAAAAGGGATCTTCCCCCAGTAGATTTTTAAGAATATAGAGACAGGAAAAACAAGTCACATGTTTAGGGGAGAGAGACCCTTTCTTTCAGCGCAGCAACGCTAAGAGTCTGAACAGCCACCTGCCCGCGGGCAGTGTCCTGCCCCTTTGAAGCCCTTCAGCCTCCTCCCAAGCCCTTTGATCTCACGCCCCCTTTCCTCTCCCGCGCCGGCGGCTCGTTCTAGATGTTTCTCCCGCGGAATCTCTTTTTTTTTTTTAAAGAATATGTTGGGGGTAGGAGTTTATTAATTTATTTATTTTTGCAGTGTTGAGTCTTCGTTTCCGTGCGAGGGCTTTCTCTAGTTGTGGCAAGCGGGGGCCACTCTTCATCGCGGTGCGCGGGCGTCTAACTATAGCGGCTTCTCTTGTTGCGGAGCACAGGCTCCAGACGCGCAGGCTCAGTAGTTGTGGCTCACGGGCCCAGCCGCTCCGCGGCATGTGGGATCCTGCCAGACCAGGGCTCGAACCCGTGTCCCCTGCATTGGCAGGTGGACTCCCAACCACTGCGCCACCAGGGAAGCCCTCCCGCGGCCTCTCTTAATCGTCGGCTTGTTCAGCTGCCGCATCCAGCCGTAAAGGCTGTTGATGTCAGTAGCGCCCCCGCGTCTCTGAAACCTCCCAGCTCTCCACTCGCAGCCTCTCCCAGGTGAGAGTTCCTGGCCTCTCTCACCTGGACTCCGGGGCTGCCGGCACCTGGCCGACTCCGCCTCGTCCCGGTCGTGGCGCACGGCCCAGGGCGGGGTCCTCGGCTGAAGTTCTGGTCACCTGACACTAAGGACACTGCACACACACGAGGGTCGGGGCCGCTTCCGGAGCCCCTCGCTCAGGGCTCAGCCGAACCTGCCCCTCCTGCCCCCGCCCCCGACAGGTGCCAGGCCTGGCGCAGAAGCTGCTCTGGGCGAGCGGTCAGCGTCGGCCTGTGGGACGCCCGGGGGCGGAGCCTAGAGCTGGGGCCACATTCGGGGCTGGGCTTCAGCTGCGGGAGCCGCGAGCCCCCGGCTGCTCCCTGACACCACAGGAGGGGCGAGGCCGTGGGGCTGGGGGCAGGCGAGAGAGAAGGAAGGGGAGGAGGGGCTGGAGGACGGAGCATCTGGGGACACGACCCACAGGGGAGCAAGGGAAGGGTGGGGCAGCAGCCGGAGGTGATGGATGGGACAGCCACGGCGCCCAGAGGTGCCGGGGGCGGGGGTCTGCCAGGGAGGGCCTGCAGGGGAAGGGCCTGCCGGGGGCAGCGGGGGCTCCGGGGTACGCAGGGGCCGAGTGGGTGTGGGCGGGAGGGGCTGGTGGCCTGACGGCAGGGGGGAGGGGCCACCAGGTCCCTGCTAGTCGCGTGGAGCTCGCGGTTCAAGCACACGGTTCCGGGAAGAGGGTGGGGGTGGGAGGACAGGGGACAGAAGATGCCCAGCGAGCCGCTGGAACGGGGACAGGGCCGGGCTGCCTCTGAGCGGCCCCCTCACGCCGAGGGCGCTGAGCGAGTCTGTGCGGACTCCCTTGGCCCCCAGCCCCCTAGCAGGTACCCGGGTGGCGGCCGCGAGGCCAGGGCCAGTCCCCCGTCCACGCGTGCCCATGCTCATCCATCCACAGAGAGTCAGCGCCTGCGCTGGCCCAACCTCAGCCCCCAGGGCTAACGTTCCAGCCAGGGTGCTCCGTCCAAGGACCAGCCAGAGGCAGCACAGTCACCCCACGTGGCTGCAACACTGGAAAGCCAATGGCCGGCACTGAAATTAATCCGATTAGGAAAGGTCTACGCCGAGTCCCCAGGCGACCATGACAATCTCCCGCCGTCAGGAAGGGCTCCAGGCCGGCTGAGCCTATCCCGCTCGTAGTGACATACGAGGGCTGAGTCTCCCGGCGGCTGCTGAAATGCTCCATCCACCCACACAGAATTCACAAGGTCATCAGGAGCGAGCTGCATGTGAACCGAAGTGACATTTGGTGGTCTTGGGAATGGACTTGGAAAGCAGAGGAATCTCTGTGTTGTCCTTTGCACGCAATACTGCCCAGCGTTTACTGCATAGATATCAGCCAGGAGAGGCCTGATTGCCCCCAACCATGCCGTGGGGCGGCTCCTTTAGTCTCCATTTAGGGGAGTGGAGTTGAGATGGAAACCCAGGTGGACCTGATTCTAGATCCAGATCCTCTGGGGGAGACGGTGTGAACGACCAACCCTGCAAAGCTCTGCCTGTGACAGGAATGTGGGAAAAGGGAGCCTGCCCCCACATACTCAGCCCCTGGCATCCTCCATCCCGATACAGTGCTCCTGGAGCTGCAGCCACGGCCAGTGACGCCCCCCGTGAAGCTTTTGGACGTCGCTGCTAACGTAGGGATTACGGGGAACAAGGGGTCGGATGCTGGCCAAGCCACCTGCTGGCTGCACCACTGACCCTGTTGGGCAGATTATTTTGCCGCTGTCCCTCATCCGATGAAACGGGGCACCAAGGTGGTCGGGAGGGTTCGATGGGGACGAAGTGATGGGCAGGTGCCCAGTTGAGGAGGCATGCCATAAATGTCCATCAGGTTTTTTTAGAATAATCTCTTTCAAATCCTGTTCTCTTCACTACGTAATTCAGACTTCACAGAAAGACATTTCAAGCTAATATTCCTATTTGGATGACGGTAGTTTCTCCCAGTACAAGAGCCTCATTGGCCCTGCAGCCACGTAAATTAACTCCTATTAAAATCTGGTAAATACAGTGAGAGAACTGGACAGATTCAGAAAGTTCTAACTCATCACAACCAGCCATCGCCCGTGGGCCTCTCGCTTCCCCTCTGCAGCTGAACCATACGAACGAGGACGGGGGTGAGATCACCGAGCCTCACAGCACTGAAACCCGAATTGTCCGCAGCGTCAGGACGTGCAGACTGTTCGGCACTGTGTTTGTGAAGAAGAGACAGTTGGGAAAGCAGAGAATGCACACGGGAGAGATTGCCTACATCAAGATTACACTGTTTTTAAAAATAAACAAAATCCTGTAATTAGACATTGAAAGCAGTGACTACATCACTAAAAACAACGGCAGACCACAGGAATGCGTCTGTGGAACTCATCGTCGAGTATCGTGCCCACATCCAGCGATGCCCCGGGGCCAGCGAAGTTGGCTGCGGGTGTGAACAGGCGTCCAGCTTCTTCCCGAAACTCATGCTGGGGAACAAAATACACTGAACCTTCGGATGCAGCAGTGTTCCCAACTCCGTGGTCGGGTCACCATGTTAGCAGCTGGAGTCGAAGAGCAAAAAGGCAAATCAGAGCCTGTTAGCTCGACGCAAGCTGCTGGTTAAGCATTACCAGCACTCCTTATAGATGTTTAATTTGGTGCAACTAAACCACAAAATTTCAAGCCAAAAACTAGAACCTATCTTGAATTGGTCTTCTTATTAACGGGACTCTTTACAGAGACAGACCATTAAAGTGAAATAGTATTTATTCTGCTTTTTTTTAAAAATATATGTATATATGTGTCTGTGTGTGTTTGAAATTAATAAATATGTTTATGGGAGAAGAGTGGCCTGGTCCAAAGTGAGAGGAACCAGGATAAATAAGTAAGTGACTCTTACTTCAGAGCATCTTCCTTATTGTGTCCATTGCCTGGCCTTATGGGTGAATCTCCAAATTTCTCTTTATTTAGTGATCGATTCATTTTCTTTCTTTCCTTCTTTCTTTCTCACTCATTCCCCTCCTTGCTCCGGTAAGGATTTATGATGATATCTGCATGTTAAATTGTTACAAATTGATGCACAAGGCTAGCCTTTAAAGGTGGACAGAATCCATGAGTGAAGGGACAGCGGAAGCAGACAGAGATGTTAGGGGAAGGCAAGCAAGATGAAAACAGGGGTCACAATATTCATACAAAAAGATGTCATTTAAAGGTATATAAAGATTTCTCTAACTCGTTAAGATAAAAAATATATAATAGTCACAAACATGTATTCACCAAAAAAACAATTACAGCAGAATTTGTTAATACACTCCTTGCAGAATCAGATCTAACAGAAAAACGGAAGTTAGGATATTCTGATCATAATCCAATAAAATTAGAAAAATATAATAAAAAAGCTTTCTTAGAAACTAAAGTATATCTTTCTAAATAATCCATTTCATAATATTAAAAATCAAATTTCAAGTTAAATCTATCTCAAAAGCAATCAAAAAAATACTTTATACCAAAACAGATGCAGCTAAAGCAGTACTAACTGCTCTATCTGAAGATATTAGGGGGAAAAAAGTGTAAGAAAAAATTAGTAGGAAGAATCAATAAAGATATAAGCTGGAATTAAGAAGAATAAGAAAAAAAAGTAGAAAAGATAAATAAATCTTAAAGCTGATTACTTGGAAAGACCATTAAAATAGATAATGTCTTCATGGGCCTGATTAAGAAAAAGAAAAGTAAAAGAAATATATAAAACTAGGGAAGAAAGAATACAGATACAAAAGGAATTATAAGAATAAAAAGTAAATAGTATGTGTAACTCTGGGGCAATGAAGTTAAAATCTAGGGAAAATTTAGTGATTTTTCTAACAAATAGAAAAAGGCAAAATTTCCCCATGAAGAAGAAAAAAATGTGAGTATACTATAGGAGAGACTCAAAGAGTGATTAAGGATGTACCATCAAAACAGATCCCAGGGCAGCTGGTTTCAGAGCTGAGTCTTGTCTAGTATTTCTGTAGGGTGAATATTAATGTCGTATTTATTTGCCTATGGCATATAAAAAGATGAAAATTTTCCTAATTCACTCTCTAAGGCTAGTCTATCCTTAATAACAGAGCTTGATAAGATTATCACAGTACTCCCAAAACCCTATAGAAAAATATTATTTATGAATTTAAAGTTCTGAATAAAAGATAAATGAATGAGATCTGAAGTGTCTCAAAAGAATGTAACAGAATATGATCAAATCAGCTTTAACCCAAGAATGAACATGTATTTACTATCTGGAAACAGCAACATCACACAAGCACACCGCTGATGCTGAAGAGAAAGACCTTTCGTAAAAATTCAACGGCTGCTCTACCAACACTTCAGTTAAGTGGTAATAGAAATTGAATATGTGCTATATAATGGAGGACCAAAATACAACAAACCTCCTTGTAAATGAAGACACTCTAAGTCAGCTGCACTAAAAGCAGGAAGAAGCAGGGATACCCACTCCCACCGGGACTATTCAGGGCGGGTTTAGCCATCTGGCAAATGAAATGAGAAAATAAAAGAGCCCATGTAAGCCTTGGGAGAGTGAAGGCAAACCTTCTTTCCTTGCTGGTGATGTGATTCTATACCTAACAAATTCAAGACACTTGGAGAAAAAAAGAAAGCATTAGAATTAATCAAAGAATTTAATAAAGTGTCTGTGTACAAGATAAACACAGAAAAATTCATAACTGTTCTTCTATACTGGTATTAAATAGCTAAAAATGGATATTGGGGAAATGTTTAATTCTTAACAGAGATATCTATAAAATAGGAACACATTCCATAAGAAATATTGCTCAGGTCATTTGAAGAATACCATAGAATCTTATCAAAAGACATAAAACAAGGTCTGAACAAAGCAGAAAATCTATCATGTTCTTGAATGAGAAGATTCAGTATGATAAATTTTTAATCATCCAAAAATTAATAAATAATATAAAAACTGCAATTTTAATCCTATTAGGTTTGAGAGAAATGTGGATTTAACTTATCTTAAAGTTCCTATGGAAAAATAAATGACCAAAGATAGCAAAGAAAAAGGTGTTTTTGTGTGTTGGAGGGCTGCAGTGGGCTGGGAGGGACTTGCCTTACCAGCTGCTAAGACACACCATAAAATCCCTCTAACATGATAAACAAAATGAAATGACCTTGGCATAAAGACAGACAAATAGGTTAATGAAACAAAACAGAATTCTAGAAACAGATCCTAATTTATTGGAGAATGTAATAAATGACGCAGTTGGTATTTCAGTTTGGTGGGTGGAGGTGGGTTTATTAAATAGATGAGGTTGGCCACACGGCGTTCCATCTGTGGAGGGAAAGAAAATTGGGACGGTGCCTCACACCTCACGTGAAACTAACGCTGAACGAGGGAAGGACCTCAATGCAAAAATAGACTTGCAGGAATTTACAGTAAATTTCAGGACAATATGTAAGTGACCTAGAGCATAGGAAGATCTTTCAACAAACAGAAAAAAAGGAGGGGGGCTCAGAATGTATCCACACATGTATACACACCACGCAAACATACATACATAGCACATACACATACCTATGACTACAGAAAAAAATGTAAACATGTAAGGCAAATACAGTATACTTAAAATCAACAGGTAAATGACACGCTGGGGGCAAATACCTGCAATGCATACAATGAAAGGAACGATTTGTAGGTAAAGCCAATTTTCCGTCACAGGCACAGCGCTTTCCCAAATTGTTAAGATAAGGAAAAGACCTACAACCCAAAGTAAAGTGGCCCAAGGAAATGAGGCAATTCACAGAAATATACAAGCGGCACCATGTGTATGAAAAGAAGTTCAGCCCCACGGGTGGCCAAGAAAAGGAAGGACGGTGACACCAACGTGGTCTCGGTAGGGACAATCCTTCTGACATGGTGACACCCACCAGTAGGGAGGTCGGCAAAGAAACTCACAGGTTGGCGGTGGAAATGTGAGGGCCTGCAGCTGACACTCTATTAAAAAAGTGTGAAGAAGCACACATCCCTCAGCCCAGCCACCCCGCTCCCAGGGATTTAGCCGACGGAAGTGAAAGCTTCAGTAGATGGAAGGCCTTTTCAGGTCAACCACTGCCGTGTTCATGGTGGTCGCAAGTCAGAGAGAGAACTAAATAGCTATTCACTGAGAACCGTGTGAGGACATGCGTGTGAACGGGCACAGTGAAACTTCACAGCCATTCAGAAGAACGGGCCGCATGGCAGTTTCTAGAGAACAGCCCTGGTGTCGCCCAGCAAGAGGATGAACCCGCTGAGAGGGGCGCCCACAAAGTGGGGCTCCTGGAGGGACACACAAGGCAGGGTCAGGGACACGGTCCGGCTGCTGCCGTGATCCGGGTGGACTCCGCGTGAAGGAAGCCGCAGGGCCAGGTGAGAGGTTCTAGAGAAGGTGGGACAAACCCATGGGGGGACTCAGACGGCATTGGACGGAAGGGATCTGGTTACACAGGTATGTACCTTTGCCAAAGCCCATCACACGACACCCCCAAGGTTAGGGCTCTAGATTCTAAGTAGGGTTATCTCAGAAGGAAGAGTAAAGGAATGAACACTAGCTAAGTATGTAGCTAGACACAGGCATAGCATTTAGGGGCAGGTACACCGATGCCTGAAACTTGCTCTGAAATACATTTTTAAACATAAAATAAGATGGGATGATGGGTGGTTAGAGCGATGGATAGATGGAAAATCAAGGTTAACCATGAAAAGATTAACGGTAGACTCTAGGTAGCAGGTATAAGGGTGTTTTTCTAAATAAGATTCTTCCTACTCTAGTGTGTGTTTAAAAGGCTTCCTAATACAACGTTGGGAAGGAAAGATCGACACCAATGGCTACAGGGGTCTAAGCAAGATGCAGCAGGAGTGTACATAGGAAGATTCTATTTTAGCAAAATAAAAAATGACAAAAATACATCCACGTATGTGTGATTCAGCCCAAGTAATCAGATACAGTGATGCGAACATGAAGACAGTTCTGTAATATCACTCGGTCCCCAGGGGACGGAGGTGGGGAGTTGAGCGGGTGGAGGTGAGGGAACAAAACAGAAAGGAGAGAGGCCCTCAGTACGTGAAGGATGCAGGGTGGGTGGACACAGCACACGGGGTAAAATTCCAGATGTTGACTTTCTTACATTTTCTGTACTGTTTTTCTACGTGATCATTTGTTATATATGCAATTTAAAAGCTATTGTTATTTTGGATAATCATAAAACCAAACAAACACACAAAAAAGAGAATTTTGTCATCTGAATCTTAAAGAGGCCCCCAAATCGTAGCCTCGGGTCCCCAGAAACCCGGGACCTGCAGGATTCGAACAAGTTTACGGTCCCTCCTCAGCCCCGAGCTGCAACCAGCACAGATCCCCCTCGGGACGCGGAACATCCCCCAGCGAAGTGTCCTGCCCTGTCTCAGCCCCCGTGGCACCTGAGAGCCCAGTGTTCTCGAACTCGGCCTGCGGGGCTCGAGCTGCAGACTTGGCCTGTGCGCCTCCGACTCGGGGCACACGAAGCCCCCTCCCCGCCGAGAGCAGCTGCCCCCACACTTGTGACTGTCCCCAGCTGCGTCCCAGGGCCCTGCAGACAGAGCAGGAGCTACAGGGGATGCCGGAGGACAGAGCTGCAAAGGACAGCTGGGGGCTCAGCGCACGGGGAGCGCTGCTGCACGGGGCCCAGGGCAGGGCTTGGGGGTCCCCAGCTGGTGACAGACGGAAGCAGCCCCTCCGACCCCTCCGGGAGAGAGCCTGTCCCCTCCCTCGGGGTCACCCCTTGCCCTGGGCACCAAGCGTGGCAGGAAGGGCTGCCGGAGGGGCCCAGGGAGGCCCCCGGGGCCCTGATTCTCTAGAATCGACACCAAGGGCCGAGCCCTCCCTCCGTCAGTGACTAATCGCTGAGCACCTCAATTGATTTTTGCTGCCAGGAGGACCGTGCTGTCCACAGCTTGGACCGTTGGATGGGATGTTTTCAGGTGTGAGAGGAAAGAATAATAAATGCGACAAACAACATATCCACCTACAGAAAATAGAATTTCTTAACAAGAAAATGGTATTTACAGCAACTTAGTTTCTTTTTAAACTCTACCAGCTAAGAGCAAGACTGCGAGAACCAGAAAGCTCCTTTCTGGCAGGAGCCGCAGCACCTCGTCACTGATTAACTGTCCCCTCTTCCAACACGGGCCTCTGGACCTGGACCACCGACTGTGCTCGGGGTCGAAGACCTGGGCCGGCTGGCCCAGCAGCTGCCCCGGAGACCACGTCCCATTCCATCCCTCACTCCAAGGCCAGTAGGGTTCCTGACACAGTGAACGTCAGCGAATTTTAAACCAAATGCCCGGTGCGCTCCTGGTGTGACCCTCACTGCACAGCCGCCTGGCACCTGAGCCTCTGAGGCCTCCTCCCTGGGCACTTACAGGCCGACTTCACCACCTCCCTTCACAGGAGCCAGCTGAGGGGCCAGGGCTTGCTTCGTACAGGTTGGCAGGCATGCAGGCCACATGCTGTTCTGTCACAGCCTAGAGGGCAGGGCGGGGACACCCGCAGGGGCCAGGACTCGGAAGCGGCCCATCGCAGGGCTGGGGAGGGGTGGCCAGGGGAGGCACCCACCTGTTCCGTAGGCAGGTTCCGGGGCTGAGCTTTGGGGCCACAGTTCTCACACCAACAAGGGTAAACCTCAAACCTAAAGCTGTCTGGGCCCTCGGAAGATTCTCAAGATGGACCGGGACCCAGTGACCGAGAGCCAATCCCGTCCTTGGAACTGGGGTCAGTGGGGCTAAGGAGCGAGGCTGCTCTTCAGTGTTGGCCTGTGAGGTCACGTCCACCGCCCCAGAGGCGGCCTCCCCTGACTAACAGCGTCTTGACGCCTCCGCCAGACACCCCAGCGCAAGCTTCACACTTGAGGAAAATCTTCCCAACATTTTTGCGTGACGTAGTAACAGAAAAATCGTTTTCATGGAAAAGACTTATGCATGCACACGCGGTGCTGGGCAGATCGTACAATGGTTTATTTAATCTCTGCAGACACTCAGAGAGATACTATTGCCGGATAAAGAGCTGGAAGGAGGTAAAGCTGAAATTGACATGCAGGTTTTCTCGGACCCCAGGGCTCACGTGGGGTGAGCCTTGAGGGCGGGACCTCAGGCCGACTCTTCCCCTGCACTGGCACGTCTCTCTCGGCTGGTATTTTCATCTCCAAGAGGGCTGATCGTGCGTTAAACTGAACAGCACTCCTGCAGCACAAGCCTCATTTTGACGATAAAGTAGGTTTATAAACGTGTTGTAACGAAGGTGTGAATCCGTGGCCGTCAGCCTTCAAGACCCACAGAGCCCAAATCCCACTCCGGTCCGCGTGGGGTCTCGGGGAGGGCTTTGCTCCGACTGAGAAAAACGGTGTTGCACACCCACGGAAACTGCCACCCAAACAATTCACAGCTTGGGATGCTGTGTGTGCCAGCGACTTCGTCCTCACAGCCACGAGACGGAGCTGACCTCAGCCGGGGACGCAGCCAGGAGTAGCCCCCAGGGAACCGGGCGGCCAGGTGGGCAGGGCTGGGCCTCCGCGGGAAGGGTGAGCTTCGGTCCAGACCCCCCACCCAACTCCAACCACAGCAATCCCGCCGCCTCTGTTTCGGCCAAGAGCTCGCCTTGCTCTGTTGTTCCACGTGCCAGGCACTGTGTCCAGGCTTTACAAACATTTCATTTACCACTTACAACAGGGCTATGAAATAGGTAAAATTACTCTCATTTTTAGAAATAAGAAAAGCGTGCTTCTCGGAACAAGCAAAGTGCTGGCCCTGGGCTTTGAGCCCAAGAGGGCATTCTGTACTCTGCACTGCATTTGTAAATAAAATGTCTTCCAATTTCCACTGGGCAAAGCTCTTTCTTTGGTGCCTCTTAATTCCTTACCATGCTAAATCCTCTAACCAGAAGCCACAGATAAGGGCTTGTCCAAACAATTTCTTCAACCAGTCTTTTTTTAGAAAAATAAATACAGGTAGACAATGCAGGCTGAATATTATAATATTACTTACAGAACACTGAATTATTTGTAAAGACATTCTCAGCAGTGCCAAGGCTGAGAAACCCTGAGAGAGAAATAGTCAGTTCATAGGTAAGTAAGTAGGTAAGTAGGTAGGTGGATGGCTGTGGATGGATGGATGGATGGATGGATGGATGGATGGATGGATGGATGGGTGGATAAGATTATGCCCTAGAAGTTACTCTGAGTCAAAAGGCTGACTCAAAGCACCGTGATTATCCTTCCAGTTTTAGTATGATCTCGTCCCGTGGCTACTGGTCAGATCATTCAAATTTAAGACGTCTTTCTAAGCAGGTAATCATGCTATCAGTTGCACTTAGGAATAACTTATCAGTAATACTGAGGAGTAATGTGGAAACTGACAGAAACGGCCCGTACCTATCATCATCTACAAAGTAGTTATATGAGAAGAGAGAAAAAAGAAAATACGAAAGATTATGTCAAGATTCTGAAACTATTTAATTAGAAGAGTAGTGACACCGTTCATGGAAACAAAGGACTTGGAAAAGGAAACCAGTCGTGTTGCCGTGGCTTCAGACACGCTGAGTGTGAGATGATCATGACACGTCAGAGCAAAGATGCTTTGGAAAACAGTCCAAGACACGGGGATGGAGACAGAGTAGATCCAGGGATGCGTGTCTCAGCTGTGAAGTAATAGCTGAAGTCGTGACACAAAGATGTTTACCCGGGACAAGAGAGCAGGAGCACTGATGGGAACCCGAGCCTTGGAGAGCGACCCCCGGGGAACAGCCCAGAGGAGACGAGTAGGTCAGAAGACAGAGGACCGGGGGCTTCGACGTCGCAAAGCCTCAGGAGGAGAGGGCTGGAAGGACAGAGCGTGGCCCTCGTGCAAAGTGCTGCAAAGCAGATGAAGAGAAAGAAGGTGGAGGAAAGATCAGGTATTTGAAAAGTGCCTGGTAGCCTCTAGAAGGACGACAGATGCAGGTAATTAAGGGACAGGCGGTCGTTACAATGGAGACTTTCTGGGGAGGCCAGTTGTTTGAGGCACAGACCGTAGGATGAAACCTAGGCAGCGGCTGGTTGAGCAAAATGCTCTTCTCTAAAATGAGAGCTACTTAAATATGTCCTTTAAAAGTGCGGGGCAGGGAGCAGTTGATAAAAAGTGATCTCAATTGAATCGACTTCTCTTCTCTGAGTATAAGGGAAAAGGAAAGAATAATTATAACTCTTTGAAATGTGAAAGTAAGAGGGAAAATTTCACTTTACCAATCAACACATATTAGCCAGGAGGGATCAAACACCTAAATTCATTTCCTGATTTGCCTGAAACAATCAGAAGCTTTGGGGTCTATTTCCAATTACAAAACAAAGCTACAGAGATAACTGGACAGCAACAAAGAAAACTCAGCGTGTGTTCTAGTAACGTCTGTAAAGGTTGTTCCTTCTTTCCTTTTCAGATTAGATTTCACAGTTTCCAGGAAAAACTTACGTAAGACGTTTGGCATAAACTTGCTAATCAATGCTTATATTTCAAAAGCAAGGGTAATGAATTAGCTCAGTAAACTTGTTTTAAGGCCAAGGGGGAGAATGGTAAGAGAGACCTGAAGAGGTTCCAGTGACTGATGATCTATATAAAGAAAAGTGATGCAATGCGGGGTTGTAATAACTGCTGGCGCTGAGAACAGCAGAGTGACTTGTTTGCTGCTTTGGTGAGGCTGGGCCCTGAGTTCAATTACATAAACAGCCTTTTTCAAGCTCGTTACAGAGTCAAGAAGCCCAAATCCAACCCCTGTAATTGCAAAAGTATTTTCCACACTCTTAGCAAAATACAGAAACTGGGTCAAGGATAATCATCACTCAAAGCTATCCTGTCTCCTTGAAATAAAACTTCGTAGCTATTCATTTTTTAAACCTACCTTGCTCCAGAAGGTACTTAACCTTAAATTTATTTTCTGTATAGATATATAGCCTGCCTTAACATTCACGGTAGAATACACCACCAACACATGAGTACACGTGGCACAAATAAAGAACATGAAAGGTTCCCAGACACGGCTTCTCGGGGAAGATCACGTGAGGAAGATCCATGTTTGAGGGCGGGGCGGACTCGAGCTCCCCTAGCCCGATGCCCCCAGGAACTCACGTGAGCTTTGCAAACCTGCCAACGTCGGCGAAGTGAACTGCCTGAAACAGTCCTTTCACTCTGGTCATAGAAGAACTAGGACTAGAGTCTTGGTTATTTTATCTTCGGTACAATTTTAGAGCTATTGCGACGGTTGTCACAGATTTTGTTAATGATAACAATAAATAAATAATAGCAACAATAAGAATAACAAATCTTGGGTTTGTCGCTGTTTGCCTCAAATCACTTTTGGAAAGAATAGCAATAATTTTCGAAACTCTTCAATTCTAGCGTGAGCTCAGCAGAGTGAGAATAAGGTCACTTCCCCTGTCCAGCACCCCCTGGAGGAGCTAGAGAAAAGAGCCTCCCGATTCCTTCTAGTAGAACTTTAATGTTGCGTCTCCCAGAGGTGTCTGCATTTTAACAGAGCAAACAAGTCAACCCTTAGGGAAGGATATGGAAATTTAAGACGAAGTCCATGGCTCAAGACCACACAACAAACAGAGACAGCATCGGACAAGCAATCAGAGTGCCCAAAACCCGAGGCCAGCTTTCCACACTCCTGGTTACCCTCCCCCCAAGAATTTTAGAGAAAAAGAGGAATTCCTGACTAACCCGCTCCACCTACTTTTAAGACCGATGGAAAAAGACGCCGCGATATACTGCTGCTCTCAGGACTGCGGGAACCGAAGCTTTGGGCTCAGTCTCTCTCTTGGTCCGTCTCAGGGGAGAGGACGTCACAGGCATCCAGCCAGCGTCCACTCTGTTCCCGTCACTGTTCCAGGCACCAGAGATGTACTGTGAATGAAAGAGATGAACTCCCTGCCCGGGGGGCCCGATAGTCTAACAGGGAAGAGAGAGTAACAGGCACATAGAATGTGCACTGTCGGGTGATCAAGGCCAGGCAGGAAATAAAACAAGAGAAAGGCGGGTGGAGGTCACCTCCTGAGCACAGCAGTGGGCAAGGCCTGCCCTGGGAGGTGAAATTTAATAAGCCCCGGGTTATACAAGCAGCACATGGAAAGGCCCTGGGCAAGAAGGTCCCAGGCAGAGGGAACAGGGAGGGTAAAGGGGCTGAGGCCTGACCCCAAAGCTTGAGCGTGGGAGTGGCCGGTCCTCAGAGGAGCCAGGCCCGGGGCCTGAGGGCAGGGGACCAAGATGAGGGGCCTGGCCAGATCCTAAGGACGAGCGAGCCCCTGGAGGGCCCTGGTCAGGAGAGGGGCCTGCTTTTAATGCACATGTTAAAGGTCACGCTGGCGGCCACTGAAGAGATCAGACTGGGAGAGAGGCCGGGGCCAGGGCCAGGGCCGGGGGTGCAGGGGACAGGGGAGCAGCAATGTCCCCGCAGAAGACCAGCCGGGGGCCTCGGCCACACCAGCCACGGGCTTTCCAGGGAGGGTGGATGGGACGTGGTCGAGTTTAGACCAGGAGGGTGAGGAAAATGAAGGAGTCGAGGCTCCAACGATCATGTGTCAGGGCAGCAAACGAGAGGGGGAAGACCCGGCTCTAACGGCGGCAATTTAAAATCCGCGGAGCCTCAGCCCCGCCCAAGGAGAGAGGCCGCGCAGACAGCGCGTTGCTGAAGTCCGGGGCTCGGGGAGAGGCCGTGTGGGAATCAGCGGAGGACACTTAATCGACGGCATGTAGAGCCCCAGGCCTGCATCAGGGAGCACAGGACGGTGGACGGAAGACGGGCGCCAGCCAAGGACGCTGGCAGGGAGCTGCCTGTGAGGCCCAAAATAAACAAAAACAGACCAACAACCAGACAAGCCTGTATATTCCAGAAGCCCTGGGGACAGAGGGCACGACCGCTGTGGATCTGTCAGCTGCTACTGACAGAAGTAGCACGAGACGGGCTGGCCCTTGACCACGTGACTGGCCACACGGAATTTGCTGGAGAAGATGCTAAGATCGGAAGCGGAAATAGGCCAGAGTGCGGTTGGTAAAGAGTTTTGCTGTGCAAGGGGAGGGAGAAGTAAGGCAGTAGCCGGGCGGCCAGTGGGTCAGGAAGGGCTTTTTAGGTGGAAGAGTCTGGAAAGTCTGTACGCTGTTTGGGATGAAGCCAAGTGGAGGAGAGTCAGTGACGCCGGTGTAGGCTCTGTACGGAGGGGCAAGCCGAGGGGCCCCCGCGCAGCAGGGGGGCGTCTTGGGAGAGGCGCAGAGACGGCCATCACCGTGACGAGAGGACAGAGACGCCAGCACCAGGTGCAGGCAGGGCTACTTCTAGTTTCTCACGTAAGAACCCCGACGGTCAGCCGGGCGCGGACAGAGAGACAGGAAGGGCGGTAGCAGACGGCGCTGCGGGGAGGCGAGCGCTCGCCGAGAGCCTGGGTGCCCGCAGGGTGCGGGGAGAGCGTGCGGGGCGGGGCCGTGAGAGTGACAGAGGAGCAGACACGGCGGCGCCGGGGCCAGAGCGGGGGCAGAGCCTGTGGGCCGAGTCCAGACGCCGGAGGCGAGGGGCGCACGTCCCCTCCACGTAGATGTCAGGACGACGGGAGAGAGGGGCCAGCAGCCCGGGGTCTACGGGGACCGGGTTCGGGGGAAACGGCCCAAGGAACACAGAGAAGGGCGCTGCCTGCAGGTGTGTGATTCGAAGGAGGTGGTAGCGCCGCTCCCGTGCGCTGCAGCCTCCAGGTAAGTGAAGAGCGAGTGTGGAACGGGGCCGGGGCTCTGGAGGCACTGTCTCACTGCCACGTCCCCCCGCGTCTGTCCCCTGGGCACCGTGCACCTCGGGCTGGGCATCCTGTGCGCTGAGGGGCCACCTGTGCTCGGGGGACGTTTAGCAGCAGCCCAAGGCTCCGCCCACTCGATGCCAGGAGCACACCCACCACCCTCCCAAACCGACAAACGAAAACGTCTCCAGCCGTTGGCAAATGTCCTCTCGGGGCACAGTCACCCCAGCTGGGAATCTCTGACCCTCTGCTGACCACCCTGGGACCGTTCCCCTTTCCCTATTCAGCACCTGACCGCCAGAGAGAAACAGACCCCATGAAGGACCAGCTTCTTCCAAGAACATACCCTGTGTTCCCCTGGGGCCAGTGCGATCCCTGTCTCAGAAACAACCTAAAGAAACCACGATTGCCCACGTTTTCCGCTGGCGCTTGGGCAGAATTATTTTACAGTGTATCTCGCGAGCGCGTTTGGTACTTACAGCTAAAAGTTCCAGGAGGCGAAACATAAGCCACAGAAACTGATACCCAGGTCTCCACAAGGTCACGTGAAAACCTGCCACGGGGGCTCCCAGAAAGGACCAGCCTCGCCGACCCCCCAGTTGCTCCTTGGAGTCTGTGTGGAGCAGTGTGCTCGCCGCCACCCAGCAGTGACAGGAGGACCGGCACGCGGGTCTCTGCAAGCAGCCCACGTCGGGCCACGGGCTGGCGGAGCGCCCGGTGGTACCGTCACTGTGTGCCCGGCCCTCCTCCTGTGGGTGCGCTCGCCCCATCTAGACTCACCGATTTCTAAATAACAGTGCAATCACCCTGTAATCTATGTGTTTAAAAAGGAGAAGCCACACACATACAAACATAATCACACACCACTTCCTCGGAGTAAGCAGAAGGGCAATATCTAAAGCCAACGGGCTCTTCTGGGAAGCTCACTTGGCCACGGTTAACCATTGAGGGGCCAGGTGACCTCTTCCTGCCCAGGGTCAACTCAAAGCCGAGAATGGAAACCCATCGAGGAGTCGTCTGGGAGGTGTAGCACCCCGGGCCCCGCTCGAGGAGACGGGAACTCCTTCATGGGGAAACCGACTCCTGCCCTTCTCAGCGCCGCGGTCCACCCCACCGTCGGGTTTCATTTGTGATCGCAGTTCGGACACAATCGGCAATTTGTCCACATAGACCATAATCATGCGGACCTGGGCACGCAGCCCGAGCGTCCCGCCCGCACCCCGCAACCCCGTCTCGCACCTTTGTCTGCTGTCCTGGTGGACGGCCAACGGAACCAGCTCTTTCAAAGGGCAGGTGAGAGAAGGTCTGGTCTCAGTGAGACCAGAGGTTAATGAACCTCCCTTCCAAGGGGCGCGTGGGCGGCGACATCCGGCTGAAGCCGGCCTGCGATGACCTGTGGCCTCCGCGGAGCTAGGCCTCGACACTGCCCGCACCCCCAGCGGCCGCCTAATGGGTTTCTGAACTTTTCCAGCCTGGAGTCGCCCAGTTTTCTCAGGGGGCGCCGAGCCTCCAGGCGACAGTTTTGGGGATCAAGCAGGATTTTTTGCCTCATCTCCCTTTCGAGACGCATACTTTCCAGATGAGCCCAGAGCGATGCTTATCCAAACACTTCACTCCCCGCGGCCCGAGGGAGGAGGCCCCGCTGCTTCTCTTCACTCAGCAGCCCAGCACCCCGTCCTTTCTTACTTTCTTTCCCCACGTGGGACCACGGGGCTGGAAAGGAGATGTTTTCTGGGCAAAACAATTCTGGGCCAGAAAAAAGGAACTTTTCATCTGAAACTGGGCCTGCCCCGAAGGAAGTGAACTGGGCAGGAGACTGGAGAAGGTGACGGGGCTCCTGGGGACGCTTGTCGCCAGGCGAAGTGCAAGGGCATTTCTTTCACTCACCTCTTCAGTTAAACAGTTTCTCAACACCGGTTCCTGGCGCCACAATGAACGCAGCTCCGGCTGTGGGTTTGGGAGAAGAGATAAAAAAATGCACGACATTCATTCGTCTGAAAAGATTTGGGTGCCTCCTGCGTGTCGGGCCCTGCTGACGAGAACTCCGGCTAAGAGGAAAGGACTCTGTGTGACCAGGCTTCTTAGCCTCAGCACTGCTGGCCTTCGGGGCCAGACGGTCCTTTGTTGTGGGTCTGTCCTGTGCTGTATGATGTTTTGCAGCACCCTGACCTCTACCCCTGGACCCAAGTCGTGACAACCAGGAACGTCTCCAGACATTGACACATGTTTTCTGGAGAACAAAATCACTGCCACCAGCCCACCACGTCACCACTATTGAGGACACAGACAAATATTTGCAATAGAATATAAAAAGTTTAGCGGTAGAGTTACATAAAAGTAAGGGTATTGCACAAAAGCAAGTCTAAGCATCTTTACCTGAGACTGATCACCCCCAAGGGGGTGATGCTGGAACAGGGCCCTGCTAAGGAAGTAGGCGTCCGATGGGCGACAAGAAAGACCAGGGGTGGGACGTGCAGTCCAGGCAAGAAACAGCGCACAAAAGGCAGAAGGCGAGAAACAGGCAGCACACGTGGGACACAGATGAGAGATGGCCAGGGAGCCCGAGAGAGAAGCACAGCTAGATTCCTGAAAGATCAAGACCTGGCCTCTTCTCCTCTGAAAAAAATGGATATAGGTGTGTGGGTGTTATTAAACTCAACAAAGTTTTAAAACATTTTTAAATCATTGTCAAGAGTCCCCTCATTTTCAAAGTGAATGTCTCATGTAAAGGGAACAGCAAATGCCAAGCTCTGCGCTGGAATCTTGATGGAAAATCTGAATTCACGTACAAAGAAGGCTGCGACCCTACTGTGAGTAACTCACTCCTTAAGATGCTGGAAGCTTGTCCTTCAGAGAACATCTATTCATTGCCCACTGACTTCATCAAATGCACGGCATTATCCCTTGTAGTTCTACAATTAACCTTTAGTCATACCATTCTCTTCCGTAAGAATTACTTAGACTGAATGTGAAACTCGTGTGTGGACGCAGGGCCTTTGATCTGGAGCACGGTCCACACGGGACGGATGATGTGCTGTTGTGAAATTCTAAGAAGGGCTGAAATTCTCTGTGATGTTTGAGACAAAAAAAATCATTAAGTTTTGCTGTGTTAGTCTGAGCGGTAGTGCTTTCAGTTTAAGTATCGGTGGTAAATCTCTTAGCCGAGCGATTCTTTTAAGGATGACTTATGTGAGGACAAATGGATTTATTCCTGGGCCCGGTAAGTACCGTACAGTATGTAAAAGGTCTGAACATTTGATCAAATTGTACGGCTAATCCCCTAATTGCCCATTGAGAAGGGGTTTCAGGAAGAATTACAGAACCTGGTCCTATTCGCATGCACGGCTAATCCTTTCTAAAACCTTACAGGCTCTTCTGCTCAACAACGTCCCGAGGCTGAAGTCGCCGCAGGTCTGATAGACGCTGCCCTGGACACACACACAAAACAAACACATTTGTTTTCAAAGTGCCCACTGCATTTGAAGTAAGCGGCGTTGACTCAGGAATTCTTGACTGAGCTCCTCCTGTGTGTAACAAAGCCCTTTTCTCTTGGGGGTGAGGGGTGAACACTTACGAAGGTCAGACAGACTGACGAACCTTAGATGTCAGCTCCTCCGAGAAGCCGTTGCTGAAGACCTAGTCGAGGTCAGACAGCCTCCCTCCTGCTCCCCTTGCGTCCCGGGCCTCCCTCCTCCATGCACGTGCTGGATGCCTGTGCATTAGAGCAGAGAATAAGGCACCAGCTGGTAAATAACTAGAAAACAGTGAGGTCTCTGCTGATCTTGACACAAGGGAGGCCAGAGGAGTCTGGGAGGCTTCAGGAAAAGGGTGAGCACACGCAGGGATAACTCACGCCACTTTCCAAAGAATCTCCGTGGGCCGCCTACCGGGACAGGCAAAACCTGGAGTGGCCCACAGTGGCGACTCCATTAAATCGGGTGGACCTACAGCCCTGGAATGAACAAGTACAGAGTGAAAATGACAGGAGCCTTTAACACAAAAGGCAGACAGGTCAACTCCAGGAAAAACCTGTGGCATTTTCTTTGGACCCCCTCCACGCCCGACTTCTCTTTTTTGCTTCTTTCCACCCAAAGTTCCTTCTCCTCCAAACCCCGTCCAATCAGATGGGTGACTACAGACTCACTCATTTTGAGGGGAAACTAACTGGAAGGGGCTAAAATAGTAACCGGGTGGCGTGAGGCTTCCCGGATGCTCTCACTAGAAAGAGTGCAGAAAAGAACTGCAGGCAGAGCCGTGAGGGACATCTGTCATTCTTTTTTTTTTTTTTTTTTTTTTTGCGGTATGCGGGCCTCTCACTGCTGTGGCCTCTCCCGTTGCGGAGCACAGGCTCCGGACGCGCAGGCTCAGCGGCCATGGCTCACGGGCCCAGCTGCTCCGCGGCATGTGGGATCTTCCCGGACCGGGGCACGAACCCGTGTCCCCTGCATCAGCAGGCGGACTCTCAACCACTGCGCCACCAGGGAAGCCCGACATCTGTCATTCTTGTTGGGCCACCTTCCATCTTCACTTCTCTTCTCAGCTTAGGGATGCTCTACAGGTCGTGATGGGGGACAGGCTGCCCCCTCCGTGGGAGCCGACCTTGCAGCTGGTACACAGGCAGGGGACGTAGGCTCAGGAGCCAGGGATGCAAAGCAGGGGTGATGCATGGACCCCCTTCTAGCAGTAGCTCCCTCTGGTCTGCAGAGGTGGCAACCAGTGCCCCTCGGAGGGTGACCTCAATGATGTCAGCATCACAGGCACCAGTGGTCTGGTCGCGGGAACTGGCTCCCAGTCTGTGATGTCACCATAGGAATTTCCTGGCTCTGCAAGATGGGAAGATGGATTAGACAGATTGTCCAGGCCTCCTGGAGCGTCAGCACACTTTATTTTTAATACATTCTTTTTCTCCCAAAATTGGCCCAAGTTGGTTTCCGCTGCAGCTGAGAACCTCGGCCGGAGGGGGTCGATGGAGCCTCGGGAAGTGGCCCCAGTACGGCTCCTCCCAGGTGACCTCAGGTGTGGGAGCCCAGGATGAGTCTGTGACGGATGCTAACGCGAGGAAGGTCACAGCTTCCTACCTCACAGCTCAAACACCTGTTTGACCGTCACGCATCCTTTAGCCCGGGGCGCCAGGCGGGATGGGGGCTTAGGGTGAGTCGGGAAGGACGGGGGTCCGGGGTCTTCCAGACATTCTCCAGTTCTCAGCTCACACACCGCTCCTTTCCTTGCAAAACCCCAATGTCCTAAGGTCCAAGTGCCAGCCGAGTGTAGGAGCCCCAAAGGGTCAGGGAGTCCAGTGGGGACGAGGGCCCTGGTTGTCCTGAGACACAGGTCAGACGTGAAGCACTAACCTGTGCTGCACACGCCTGACCTCGTCACATCATGAAGACCTAACGTTGATGCCAGACTGGGCCCCCCTGAGGCCTGCGGTGTCCGGGAGAGCAGGGGTATCGGGAAGGCGACGGGCTCAAGCCTGAAGTGCTGGGCTGAGTCTCAGCTCCACGTGTGACCTCCCAGCGCTATGACCCGGTTCCTTACCCAGCCTCCACCTGCTGTCCTGTAACATGTCCCTCCCTCCCGTGCACGGGACATTCAGGCCAGCCGCTCTTGTCGCATCTCTTGTTCTTCAGGTGAGTACCAGTAACTGCTGCTGCCGTGTTCTGCCTGGTGCTCTGAAGATCTGGTTTACGGTCGTTTCTCTTGTCTTCTCAGAGTGAGGAGTTACACAGAAAAGATTGTTTTCCAAAAACTAATAAGGCCTTGTTATACTACCTATGATGATCAGTTATGATAATGTAACATTGTCATGGCTGCGCTGCTGGAGAGAAAACTGCTATTTAAAGCTAATGCAATAGAGAAACATCACGTGCGTCACCAACGCGCCCAGCTCTACAGTAGGAGCTCACCTGTGACGCCACCTCCCAGGCTGCACCAGAGTCAGTCTGTATAACAGACTGGAACACAGCGCCAGTGACGGTGATGCTGTGTCTCTCCTCTATCCTGAATCACCAGCTCTGGGGGAAGCAGCCGCCATCCTGGGGACACTCAGGCAACCTTGGGGCAGATAACTGAGACCCCAGCCAACAGGCACCGAGGACAGAGGTCCGCTCACAGACACGTGAGGTGGACGCCCCCTCCCAGAGCCGCTGGATGACCACAGCGCTGGCCGACGGTGGGACCTGAGCCGGATCCACCTGGATGCCCCGCCCACAGAAACTGTGATATACTAGTTTGTCCTCTTAGGGTGCTAAGCTTGGGGTAATTCATTACGCCGTATTAGGTAGTTAATACATCACCTAATTGATACAATCACCCACGCACGTGCACACACACATTCGTTACAAATCCTTGGCACACGATTTCAGCCAGATAATTCTACTGCCTCCTGGAGTCCTGCCCTCAAGTTGTCCACACAGGGCGATCATCCCGTCCTGATGTCCTTTAGTTCTTCAGCCAAGACACTTGAGTCCCTGGAGCCCAAGACGTACTCAGCTCACATCACATTTCATCATACACCAAAGGGTGTATGCTAGGTCGAAGAAAAGAGACCCTCTTGGTCTCCATGTTTGTACCAAGGAAAGGAAAATATAAATAAAAGTATCTGCCCTGCTAAAGAGAAAAGCCCTCATTAGACTCTCCTCATAGAATGAAAGGAGATTCCCAATTTTATAAGCTGTGGAAAGTCTGCTAAGCAGCGTAAGGGTAATGGATGTGTGGGGCATTGTCTGTTGGTTGAAGAGATTCTTCCGAGGAATTTATACTACGGGCTATTATCAAAAACAAATCAGAGAACCAAAATGAACGAACAGTTTCTGCATATTATGAATTCTTAAGCTTTGACATAGATGGGAGATTTTATGAGTCCAAAGATACTGACTATTTAGTATTTAAGTAAAACGCAATATATAAACATATTCATAAGGATTTAAAAGATTATGCCTCAGATCTGTCAGGACCTATTCAATTCAACATCCATCATTTAGCTAATCCCCAAATTCTTTGCCATCATCGTGAGATGAAACACCCTTGCTCAACAAAGTCATTTGTTTACTTACATAAAATGAGTTATGAAATAAAACTTTATTTCCAGTTGACTATAAAATCCAATAACTGAGTGATGCTGTCATGAAACAAAGTGCTCTAAATACTAATAGTAAAGAGACTAGCTAAAAATGTTGGAGATGAGTTAAGAAAAATAAGTAGGCAGCAACTAGAATACGTAGGTGCGCCATAACTGATTTAATGGTGGGCTGGTGGGCTGCGATCTGAGGTACTGAAATGGTTTTCAAACAAGTTTGGCATGCTGTATTCTAGACCTTGATCTATTACGTAAGGAAAATCTTCATCATAATGCTGTTCAGAAACGAGAAAGGGAGCCTGTGGGCCTTTGAGAGGGACAAGTGGACTTGAAAAAAGGTGGCCTTGCTCGTCAGACCCTGTAAGAAAACAGATCAAACAAATGGTACATCGGTGTGGGAAAAACACACTTTGATCCTTATTTTACACCATCCACCAGAATTCATTTGAGATGGTTCATAGACTAAAATGTAAAAGCTAAAACCATGAAGCTTTTAAAGGAGAGCATAGGAATATCTTTGTGACTTTGGGTAAGCAAAGGTTTTTTTCAGGCAAGATATGGAGAACAGTAATCATAAAGTAAAAACAATTAGCCTTTATCAAACTTTTAAACTGCTGATCATTAACAAACACCATTAAGAAAATGATTAGGCAAGACACAGACTGGAAGAAATTATTTGCTAAAGAAATATTCACATTACAGAAAGGACTCCTATAACTCAATAAAAATAAAAGCAAGATGGGCTTCCCTGGTGGCACAGTGGTTGGGAGTCCGCCTGCCGATGCAGGGCACGCGGGTTCGTGCCCCGGTCCGGGAGGATCCCACATGCCGCGGAGCAGCTGAGCCCGTGAGCCATGGCCGCTGAGCCTGCGCGTCCGGAGCCTGTGCTCCGCAACGGGAGAGGCCACAACAGTGAGAGGCCCGCGTACAGCAAATAAATAAATAAGTAAAAGCAAGAGATTTCAACACTTTACAAAAGAAGGGATGCAAGTGAAAACTGTTCAACATCACCAGTGATTAGGGAATTGCAAATTAAAACTACAATGAGGCACCACTAGGCTCCAAACAGAGGATCTAAAATGAAGAAGGCTTTTTTTTTGGCCGCGCTGTGCAGCTTGTGGGATTTCAGTTCCCCAACCAGCGACTGAACCAGGGCCCTCAGCAGTGAAAGTGTGGAGTCCTAAGCCCTGGACTGCCAGGGAATTCCCTAAAATGAAGAAAGATTGACAAGGCTTAATATTGGTGAGGATTTAGAGCAATCAGGTGGAGGTATAAAATGGTACAATTACTTTGGGAAAAGATCTTGTAGTTTCTTAAAAACTAAACACATATCTACCCTATGATCTAGCAATCACTAGTAGGTATTTGCCCAAGAGACACGAAAGTGTATTGCTACAAAAGATCTGCATAAGAATGCTTGTAATGGCTTTATTTACAATAGCCAAAAGGTGGAAACAGCCCTGGGGTCCGTCTGTTGGAGAATGGGTAAGTTACGTGCAGTGTACTCCTCCAATGAGCTACAGTTTAGCCACGAAACGCAGTGAGCTGCTCCTACGCACAACGACACACGTGAATCCTAAGAGCATTTTGCTAAGTGACAGACTACACCAAGAGGACACGTCACGTGAGTCCATCTGCATCAAATTCTACAAGAAAAGTTCATCCGAGGATGGCGGGGATGGAGTTGATAGGCATCGTGGAACTGGGCTGATGGTCACGTTCAACACCTTCATATGGGCTTGGGTTACATAAACACCTCTCTCAAAACCCGAAGGATAGGACACTTAATATCTGCATCTCACTTGGAGTCAAGTTTACCTCAAAAGAGAAAAACTGTGAGTAAGTATCAAACTCACTCAAGGCTAAGTATTTATGGAGAGGAGGACGTTCTTGAAAGGTACTTAAAAATAAGATGCGTTGGCAGCCGGATGCAGGAACAGGCAGCTGGTGGGCAAACATAAGTGAGGCAGGTGTGGCGAGGTTGCTGGGCCATGGAGGTGGACTCTGGTGGAGACCCCAGTCCTCACTGTGAAACGCGCTGGGACAAAATTTCTCCAAGGCAATGAGTTCCTAACAACTACATTTCTTTGGTGTCAAACTCTCATACAGGGTTTGGTTTCTTCTTTCTTCCGCCTACAGAGTTCTAACCAGAACGACGGCCGGGAAGGCCTGACGCTGTGTGCCTGGCCAGCTGCACAGCCCACACAGCCGGCGAGCTCAGGCCCCGTGAAACTTGTAGAGGCCTTTTGAGCGCTC